GAAGGAAAAGTGAAGAAAGAATAAGATGAAAAGTACGTTAAGCAGATGTCATATAGAAAAAAAAATATAGAGTGCCAGCTGTAGAACTGTGTGCAGTCATTGTTGAATCTTTTTAGATGATAGATGAGATGATGAGATTTGAAGAAAATAGTTTACACCTTACATAAATTTCCGTCATATACACTATGATGAAAATCAAATTTGTCTAAAATGTAATGGTGAGAATAAGAAAATTGATGTTCATTTTACATTTTATGTATAGGTCTAATTGTGTCATTGGATGATGATTTATGATTGATGAACCCGGTTCTTTATAATGGCATAATATAATTGAAGCAAGAGCAACTGAAATAATATGGTGCACACAATATCTGGCTAAAGATCATAGAGGAAACATTGCAATAACTCCCGAAGTTTTTTCTTATCATCAACATAATAGAAGAAATATAAGTCATTAGTAACTAAGTCATGATCAATTGTATTTGCGCTTTTGTGGCGTATTTAAAAAACAAAAAAATTATTTTAAAAAAAATCAATTTAGCACGGACCCAGAAAGGTTTCATGATTTAAATTTTACCGCACGCAACAAAATATTTTCTCATAAATTTAATTATCGTCCATTTATAACAACATTGTGTTCGTTACTAAAAAATCCTAGGATATCATTCTTCTACTTTTTAATGGAATTCTTATGCAGATTATGAATTGTTAATTATACCATGTATCTCTTAATGCTATTTTTTTTCTATATAAAAATGTCAAGATCATAAGGTTATATATAAATATTTAAAAATGCGTGTAACCCAGACCGTAATAAGAATACCGAAGATAAAGTGGTTTATTCTAGTTTTCCTTGAAGATGCTGACACATTTATGACTAATATACCAGTTAATATGGAAAATATTCTTTGTCTTTTATAATTTTCATAATTGATTTTAAAATCGAATCTACATTGACATAATAGCTGCTGTGGTTCCACTCTGGTAATGAAGCATGATAATACGTTTCTTCAGTAGAAAAGAAGCAAGCTCATACCCAAAGTCATTCAGGGATTTTAAAAATTAAACTTATATACCACAGAAATATTAAGATTAAATACATTTTATAAACTGTAAAAAAATGTATTTTTGCATAACTTAGTGGTTAATATAAAGTATTGTATAGTAAATTATACAGTAATATTATTATTTATACTATAATATAATATATCTACTATACATACTAATACTATAGTACACGTGTATATTAGTTACTCTACTATAATATATATTATAGTAGATTATTATATAGATGCAACATAGATTATTATTATTATTATTATAATAAAAGATATATTAAAAAATGTTATTTAAATATTAAATATTTTTTCTGGAGAAAAATTGTTGATGATAAATAAACTAATCAAGTTATGTTTGTTGTTGCGTGTTACGTTAACTGAGGTCTATTACAATTACATGATCATTAACTTCAGGATAACTTTGTCGGTCTATTGTAATACTTTTGTCTAGATCTAATCGCAAAGTTGTTTGTCTTTGTCTAAAGAAACGTTTTTGTTGAAAAAATAGATATATTTTCTAAATGTTAAAAAAATATATTTAATAATTTAAATAGGGCAGAAGGTTAGGTTATACAATTCAGGATTATAGCCAAGACCTACTTAAGATTTAAGATGAGATGTAATTTTATCACTCAATTGTTTTCCTTTTGACCCTTAACAGTAAATGGCATAATTAGGTGGTTGAAATAATAATAAGCAATTTTAGAAGGCATTTATAATACAAAACGAAAAACAGAAATGTTTAAATAATAATAATAATAATATCAAAGCAAAAAAAAAAAAGAAAAAAGTTATTTTTCTTAGAAAGTTAAGGCAAAAAAACATCTGTTCCCGGAGTTCCCTCATCAAAAATAGGGAAACTATTATATCCCCACACAAGGGTCGAACATTTCCTGTTTGTGTGATTCATATTTTATTACCATTTTCTGAACTTTTATTAACTGCGTATTGACCTAGTTTTTCATTTTTCTGATGCAACTAATGATGTCAGGGATTTCGAAAACAACCGGAAACTTTTAGTTTTCGATATTTTCCTGAAGGTATGGTAAACACTTAAATTGCAAGATGATTATATCGAAATTCTTAATTAATTACATAAAGAAAAAAAAAATTCGTTATTAAAGATTTATCTTTTATTTCTTCTTTTTAATAGCTCTGTCGAACATCTGTTGAATAATAAATTAAGTATTGTGACTTTTTTGCTCTATTTGGACTGATAGTTTTTGTTAATCGAGATTCTCTTAGAGATTTTTTCCAGTAGTCCGGATAGTTTAGTTATATCTTTCCATCAGTCCTATGTTATTAGGAGGTGTCAGGAAGATCACTTATCCTGATTACATTCTTCCAAAAGAATTCCCTTCTAAGAGAATCATCATTAAGAAAAAAAAAAAGAGAGAGTTTATAAATGAACAAATACTATTATATAATTAGGTTTTTCATGCCGAAACTTAAAGTAAGATGTAGAATTCAAATTTTATTCAAATGAACACTCCAGTTTTTGCAATCAAATTTATTCTAATTTGTCGCCGTATCGACGATGTCACTCGAAAGATAAATAAGATTTATATTAAAATTGATCATCTTTAATTTCGTGAGAAAGTGTATCGTATTCAATTTTATCGACGATTATCCTCTGATATTAAAATTAATGATGTAGAACAGATTTAGTTATGTTGTAATGCTAAAACCGTTCAGGCGATTAAAAGTTTAAATAGCGATGGCGTTGATAAACAAGAATTTCGATCTACCCATCCCCCTGTTGGTAGGGGGCAATGGATTAGACCGGAAATGCCGTCCGGTCCCTCACGTGAGAACACCTGTCATCTTAAAACGTGTGTGGTCACAATAGAATGACAACGACCTTGACAATCTCATACGAATAAATATATAGAAAAATCTAGTTTCATATCTTTTCAAATATATCGTTTATAACATGTTCATATATAACATGATATACCTGACTTAAAGACTAGTAGGCAAACTCACTACCAGTATAAATCTTGGATATTTATTGGTGTTTAGAATGAATTTTAAAGACATTAGTTTAAGAGGAAACTCCAAGAAAATATATATACATATTTATTTTTGCAGCTGACTGGTATCTAAGTTATTTCACCGTGACAAATCCTTATAATAAAATTAGAGTTTTGTTATTTATATACACATATATATTTTACATATTAACAGTAACAATTAGCGAATATATATAAAATGTTTATTTTATAAAATACAATAAATATTAAGTTGTAAACAATTCAAAATTTACGAATAAATAAATCGCGGCATAACTTTTTTAAATTATAAAATGGAGAGCCCACATGTAGAAGATTTTAATTTAAATCCGAAGAGATGACAAAGATTAAATTCGTAAGGAAAGAAGAAGAAAAAGAAAAAGAAATAATAATAATAGAAATCTTCACGTCATTACTTCGATGCAAAAATGTAAAAGCAAAGAATTTATCAAAATAAAAAGAGAATTATCGAAGGAGGCCTTGCGTCGTGACTGAACCTGCAGAAGGAGTGGTGCCTAAGCAAGAAAAAGAAGGAATGAACTCACCATTCCCATAACATTGTCATGTACGGAGATACCTTCTCACCCGAGGGGAATGGCAGTAAAGAGAAACGCCTATTTTGACTAGTCACCTTAATGGCAATCTGATACGAGATAAAAAAAAAGTATCAAAAGAGATTGCTAGTAATTACAAACAGAGCTATATTCACGATAAATTCTTAGTGTCAATAATAAATTTACCGGAATCCCTTTTTAATTAAGAAAATAAATAGCTTGGTTTAAATCTTTCATTTTGTATAAAGAATACTACTACTACTACTACTTCTCTAATTGCTAAAAACTGGTATTTACATACCAAAAACAAGATGGGAAAAAAAAAACTTGTTATTTTTTAATAATCGCTTGAAAAGTCTTTTATAGAAAGCCAGAGGTATTTTTTGAAAAGTTGCGTAAGGGATCAATCCGGTACTAACGAGTGCGGTCTTTATGTTAATTATCCTATGATGAATGAAGATTGATTTTTGTAAATTGTCGGGCTTTTTTTTTATGCCAAATGAAACATTTTAATTTGAAATTATTGTTACGTGAATAAATTTGTAACGTGTTTAAGAACAATAATTGTAAGGAACTTCAGTTTCCTGCTTTTAAATTATCATTCTTATAATAATTGAAAAATGTTAATATCTAAATATGACAACTGAATAGTTTTAAAACGATCTGATTTATATTTAAGGGAATAAATAAAACGAAAAGTTTATAAAGACAAAAATAAATCCATAATTATTGTTTTCCATTTTTTGAAGCTGGCAACATTTACGTTATAACGACATCTGGCGACTACAGTGAATAATTTGAGTTTCAATAGGATCTATCGTGTTACCTTCGAAGGCCATTACATAGCTTAAAACAATACTATTTTTACGTTAAAAATAAGCGTACCTATTATTTAATGTAATAGGATCTGTTAATCAATTCTAATTAAACCTATTCTAGTCACAACCACGATAATATAACAATAAAGTAACAGACACGACACTACTAGAATGTCAAAATCCGATCTGTCGGAAAAAGCTAGTAAAATAGCCGGACGAAAGCATAATAGATAGAAAAACGAATTTATAGAAATTTAAAACCTGCCCGAGGCTCTTCACCGCTTCAACAATGGTTTAGAGTCTTTCACGCTCAACCGCAACTTCATTTGTCAACACGTAAAATGTCACGGAGAGGCCTCGGTTAGGACCGAAATTATATTTTAATATTACGGAAAATATCGTATTATTTCTGATTAAATATACCAGTTTGTAATAAAGTTGGATGGTACGGGTTGTTGTGTAGCAGCCGGTTATGCCTGCCAGTTTGCCACCTGCGAGGTAAACCGACCGCCACTCGGGTCAAAACTTAAAAAGTATAGAAGATAAAAAGAACTTTACCTCTTCTTTCCCAACACTTTCGTCAGAGCGTTCAACATTCTGTTCGAATTGTAGACGCAGATACAGCCGAAAGCGGTGAAAGTTCCAAGGAACCTTTTTTTTAAACAAAGAATCTAAGCCTTAACCGCTTTAAGAAACTGCAGCCAGCATTTTAAATGTCGAGTCCTGTCAGGTGAGCAGCTCGTTTGGTTTGCCCTGGAACAACTAGAGTCTGGTTTTAGCCTGGATCGAGGCTTGTAATCAAAGTCCACAAAACAGTATAAAATATAACGAAATATACTAACGGCTACTACCTTCCGTCCACCTGAAAATACATCCACCTTCGCAAGTAGAACCGTGTGTGGGAACAGGTATCTCAATACTGGCCGGGCCCCGAGGGGGTGAAGGTGATGGTTCGGAGGGGATAAAACTCGACGGACGAGTCCATTTTGCGTATACAGTGTCCCCGCTGCCTCGTCAGACGGGAGGGTAGTTTTTTTATGGAAGCCATGAATCGCTCCCGTCGAGATGGGAAGCAGTCACGTGATTGGTAAAAGTGATTTTTCGTTATGGAAACTGGACCGGAAATGATGTCATGTCAGGGTTTTTCGTGTTTCTCTTGGTTATTTCCGTTCGGCCTTCGGCGGTGTCTTTCCTTCTCCAGAGTTCAATGATGCGAATAAAATGATCGGGATGGTAATAACTTATAAAATTTATGCTTTACCAAGTTAATTATGTCATTGGAATTAATAGCAGAGCAACCGTTTTCATTTTTGTCCGGTTTTCTTTCGATTTTAATTTTTTCCTTCCTTGATTACTTTTAAATCGTACCAGCGAAATAAATTGTAACCCTTAGTTTTAGTAATTATGTACACCTTCATGAAGTCAGCCGGCTTTGTGAAATTAGAGACAGGTTCAAACTTTTTTCTAAAACCAAGCAACGTGGATAAATTTTATTTTGGCGCATTGGGCGTGCAATTTTTTTTTTTTTTACAGTTGTAGGAAACAGCTTAAAGATTTATTACTAATTAGATTCTAAGCACATTCCACACGACAATTGATGAGCAACTTTCTTATGTCTTTAACCCTTTGGGCGAGTGTAAAGGGACTTCCCCTCATTTTAAATCTACTTATTTTCAACGTAGAGTCCGCGAATTCCTCTGCTTGATATATTAATTTACTTTCAAGTACTTTCTTATATCTGTGGTACACGTGTACTTTTGAATATTATCTATTGATTTCAGTTCATCCGTCAAAAAATACCGAGCGAAATTTTCACAATGAAAATTCAATTTTACGACTCTCTTAAAGGTTGAGAATTTCATCAAATTTTCTATTCTCTCTACCCTCATCCGGTTTATGATAGACTTCCGTTTATATATATGTGGTCAATGCACGATTTCCGGCCCGAATATGTTTTGTTTTAGGCAATTTTCCTCTTTGTATTATCTCGCTGATGATATCTGAAATTACATTTAGAAGCATCCAAAAAATAAGCATTGGTAAAGCTTGATGCCATTTTTTTTTTCCTGATGATATCCTTAAGGAACAGATTGCATGAAGATCTCTGATTGAATAGAAGATTGAAGAGTTAGAAAGCATTACAATTGGTAGAGAGTTTTTGACATTTTGCCACACTAGTTTCATATATTATTATTATTATTATTATTATTATATTTTATCTTTTATATTCACAATGATTCTAAAAATATTTAAATATAGGTTAAAACTCTTCATAAGACATTATATTTTTCTTTTAAATTATAGGAAATTTAAAGTTGACCTGACAAGATTTCTCAGATAATGTTTTAAAAGTAAAAATAAGATAGGAAGACAAAGAAGGAAAATAAAAATTCAATCATCAGTTAAATGAAAAATTAAATAAAATTACTAGAAAAAGAATAGAATAACTTATATACTTGAAAGCACAAAATAAAATCAGTATAAAAAAAATCATTAAGTGTGTATACAATTTATTCAGATGACCAGATGAATGAATCAGCTAAAACATGTCCCTTTTACTCTAAAAGGCCAGATTCAAGTCAAAATCAATTTTAAANAAGGGAATGAAAAGAGAGTAATGAATTATAAAAATGGAAAAATTAAATCCTACAGACTTGTTTAAGCAAAATTAAAAAGTTGGAGGAAGAAAAAAACATTAGAAAATTTTATAAATTAAAATCCGAATTAATTAAAATCGATTTTTGAATTAAAATTTTTTAAAAATATTTTATTAATGTTTTTTAAAATTTTTCTAAAATAAAGATAAATAGTAAGTTTAGTAAAAGGAAGGAAAACATTTTTAAAAAAAAATAGTTTTGCAGGAGAATAAACTAAATGCAAACTATAAATGTAAAGACGAGTTTAATGATGAGAAACATAAAAAGAAGTTCCATTAATCGTTTATATATTTTTTTTCTTTCTTTGGAAATTTCTAGTTCATTAAAATTTTTAATGTTGGCTAGACGAAAATAATAAATGAAGGGTAATCTGGGTTAAATATATATATATATTTAAAGCTTAAAAGATAGCATAAAAACTCTTTAAACATTTGATATACACTAATGAAACATTGAGTGTATTTGTGATTTTAAACTAAATAAGCTTAAATATCCTTTAAATTATTTAACTTATATAATAAAAACAATTTTTAAACAATTCTTTTACTTTATATAACTTAAAATGTTACTAGAGATAGTAAAATAATTACAGACTTGTAATTTAGACAGTAAGACAGTAATAAAACTTGTATAATTACATGTAATTAAATGTAAATTTGGGATAGTAAAGAATTCTACTGTTCATTATATAGAAACAGTCATTTATAAAAAGTAAAAAAATAAATAAAATGTTTTAATAATTTCAAAATTTCGTAAAAAAGTATGTTAAAATATATTTCTTCTAAATACATATGTTATTCAATTAAATTAAAATAATAAAAAATATTTTTGTTGAATGTTTATTTTATAAAATAATTTAGTAAATATTTTATATATTTATCGAATGAATCAACATTAAAATTTTTAAATACATAGTAAATAAAATAAACATTATTTACTAAATTTATTAAATACATTTTACAATTTCATAAACAATAATAAATTAAAATATATTTGTTTTCTTGAAGTATATTTTTTTTTATTTAGTATTGTTAGTCCAATGAAAGTAAGTACTGTACAGTCAAACCTCTGAACAACGTCCACTGACGGGAACATAATGGTCGTTGTTTGAAGGTTATTTTGTATGCATTCTTGTTTAAGAACGTTTCTGGAAAAGTGGCCGCCGTTAAGAGGTTATTTTGTGTGCACTTTTGTCCAAAAAAAAAGTTCTCAAAAATGGCTGCCGTGTAGAAGTTGACTGCACATTTTAATTTACCAAATAGATTAAATTCATAATGTTTTGATATCTACCACAAAAATACCACAAATTTTATCAAACTTGTACTATTTTTTTATTTCATAAAAGAAACAAATCGAATAAAAATATAATCTGTGTATTCTGTATAAATCGAGCAAAAATAGTTATAAATTCTTTAAAATCATTTAATACATGTGTACAACTGAAATGACCTAAGCAACCGATAAATGGGTGATGCAGATATCCATAGGGTGTAGGTTAACAGGTTTGGGTGAACTCATTATACAATAAGTTCACATGCCGAAGTCGTAGTAACAATACCTAGTAATAAAGTCGATACATATTTTAAAAAAACACCTGTTATAAATTATTTATTTTAAATTTTTATGAATAAATAATTAATTTCATAATTGTTAACCCATTCACATTATTTTATTCTATTTAAAAAATATATATAAAATAAAATAAAAATGTCGTCGACTTTTATATAGAAACTCAAGAGGCGCCATCTCTCGAATTAAGTTTAAACTATTTTTTTAAAAAACCACGTGGAGAAGAATGTATTTCGAATTAGTAATTTGTATCAAAAGTTATAAATTATTATTAACGTAATTACCTCATTTCGTATTATATAAAATCTAATAGCGTAGTTAAATAAATGATAAAGAGCAACAGGATATTTGTAACTGTCAATGTAAAATAAAGAGCTTCAAGGTCTTCCAAGGACATGTTTTGATGCATTCATTACATTAGATGGAATCTTTAAATAGCACGAAAAAATGAATTAATATTATTATTATTCGAGTAGGTGGACAGGTATTTATAGATATTTATGTAGGTATTTACGTGTTGCATTACTTGTTATACATGATAAATCATTGCAGACTTTTATGTTATGTATAAATTCATAGGAACTTGTTAGAGCTTAAGATTACCCCCCTACAAATTCTTTCAATCAAAAATGCCAATGTTGGGAGTAAAATATTTACAATCTACGCAAATAATTACCGAATTTGGACAGGAGAAACGACATTTTGACTGAAGGAGGAACGACTTTCTCGCTGTTCGTGTCTCTACTTAACAATGAATTGATTTATTTTATGTCATTATACTTTTCCAAATATAGAAAAAATATCGCTATTATCAAATATTATGGAAAATTACTTCAATAATTAGTAAATTGTATCGTTAAAAATGTAATTATTAGATAATGTCGAATTGAAATTCCTATAACAAACAAAAAAGGAATGTTGTTTTGAAGTAAAGAATGATTAAATAAACTTAACAAATTTTATACTAAGTAAATTTTAGTTTTAAATATCGAAATTTGATTTTACTGTTTAATTCTTGCCATAGTCTGAATTAAAATTAACTTTATTGTAAAGGAATAGAATCGAGTACAAAGAACAAAGTTTGCGCAAAACATTACAAATTATCACGTAGCATTTTGATAATTTATGCAGGAAAATAAACAATGTGCCCGAAGGCCAATCAAATGGAATTTGTCTTTTCTTTTATTAAATAATTATATTTATATCTTATCTAAATATCTTTTTTCCGTGTAACGATTTGAATGAAGGTTCTCGTGCGATTTTCTGCCATATTGATAGCAATAACTGGTCAATAATATACTACTGTTTGTTTGTCGAATGCCTTCTAGGACAAAATGATTAAAGAGCCCCGTTCGGTTGGTAATTTTAAAACAAAATACGAGACTCGTATTTTATCTTAAATGTCCGTTTTATAGCATTTAAACGATTCTAGATAAATTTCATTCTATTTAAATGCTAAATTTTGCCATTTTGAAGTATAGAATGTGTCGATTCTATTATTTTAAAAGGGTCCAAGTTATCTTAAATCCAGTTTGAACAGGAAAAAAAAAGTAGATTTGGAGAATATATTTCTAGGAAAAGTTGCGAAGAAGAAGGTAAATTCGTATAAAGAAAAACACAAGGAAGTACTTATAGGTGACAATTTTTTGCGTTCCCAAGAAAATTCGGCCCTCTTTCCTCT